CAAGTGCTGGGAGTAAAGATATGCACCATTATACCTGGCTCACTCCCATAGTTCTTTTAAAAAAATTGGATTTTTTAATTTTATGTGTTTGAGTGTTTTGTGTGCATGTGTGTATACACATCACATGAACGCCTGGCGTCCTCAAAGGCCAGAAGAGAGCACTAGATTTCCTGGGACTGGAGTTCTAGGTGGTTGCTAGCCATCATGTGAGTGCTGGGAATCAAACTCAGGTCCTTTGTGAGAGCAAGTCCCCTTAACTGCTGGGCTAACTCTCCAGCCCACTTCCAGTTCCTGATGGGACACATCCTCTTAGGACCATGGTACCCCTGTAGACACCTGGACGTTACTAAGTGACTTTTTCTTCATTTGAAACAGGGTCCTTTTTGTAGTCCAGTCTAGCCTCAAACTCAGTATCCCCCTGCTTCAGCCTCGGGACTGCTGATATTGCAGTCACATGTCACCACACCTCGCTCTCCCGCCTGTCATTTCTGAACCTCCATGGCCTCTTCTCTCCCAGACTGAAGGCCGTTTAATAGGTGTGCTGGTTAGCTTTTGTCAGCTGGACCCAAACCTAGACATATCTGGGAAGAGGGACTCTTAACTAAGAAAGTGCATCCATAAAATTGGCCTGTAGGCAACTCCAGTTCGCTTGCTTGCTTGCTTGCTTTTCTTTCTCTCTTCCTTCCTTTCTTCTTTCCTTCTTCACTCCCTTCCTCCCTCCTCTCTCCCTTCCTTCCTTTCCTCCCTCCCTCCTCTCTTCCTTCCTTCTTTTTCTTTTTCCTGAGACAGTGTCTCACTATGTAGCCCTGGCTGGCCTCGAACTTACAGAGATCCGCCTGCCTCTGCCTCCCAAGTGCTGGGATTAAAGGCGTGCGCCACTATGCCTGGCTGCATTTTCTTGATTAGCGATTGATGTGGTTGGGGCCACCCCTGGGCAGGTGGTGCTGGGTTCTGTAAGAAAACAGGTCGAGTAAGCCATGGGGAGCAGGCCAGTAAGCCGCTCTCCTCCATGGCCTCCTGCCTCCAGGTCTTGCTTTTAGTTCCTACCCTGACTTCTCTCAGTGATGGGAATGTGACCCGAAAGGTGTAAGATGAAATAAACCCTTTCCTCCTCATGTTGCTTTTGGTCATTGTGTTTTATCACAGCAGGTGGAAACTCTCAGACAGCAGGAAAACAAACACACAATCATCCAAGGTTTTGGATGCTGGTATAACTGTTTACTTTCAAAGACAGTTCTGCAAATGTTCCTTTCTGCCTCTTCTAGAAACACCAATAAGGATGCTGAAATCGGGTGGTAGAGCATTTACACCACAGGAACCAGCCAGGGCTCACGCACCCTCCCCAATGGCTGCTGAACACACACCACACACACCTCTGGGGACGGTCTGGAGCTTTCCTAGCCCTGGGACCTGAGGCGGTTTGTGTGTTTCTTGAGACAAGGCCTTGCTATGTAGCCCTTGCTGGTCTAGTACTCATTATGTAGTCTAGGCTCCCTCCCACTCATAGCAATCCTCCTGGGGTAGCTCCCGGAGTGCTGGGATATGCCAGGATACCTAGGTGAAACCTGAGTTTTAGGTTTGGCCATTGGATTTAAAAAAAAAAAAAAAAGCCACATGGCTTTGAGCAAATGATACGTGGAGATAATACACTCAGTTCTCACTTCTTCCTCTAAAATGCAGTGAGCAGTGACATCAGCCCACGAACTCCAGAAAGATGCCAGGGCAAATGAGATGGTCCAGATCTGGGAGCTCTGTCTGACATGAGCTGGATAGAGCCGGCTCCAGGGTGGCCAGCAAGTTGCTGGGTGCTCAGGACTTAGCAGGTGCCCACACCTACATACCGGATGAGTTAACCGAAGACGTTCACGGTGGTGCTGGGCCCTTGTGTGATTTTCCTCTTCAACCGCAGAAGGTGTTTTCTATCTAAGGCGGTGGCTAGGCTTGGTTGGTAATGTGTTATAAAAATTTATTTGTCTATGGATTAACCTGTCTGCACCTCAGTTTCCCCACTTGTGATATGAATGGCGGGACAGTATGTCTTGGCTCCCTTGCAGCTCAGCCCGAGGCATCTGAGTGTCACTTCTGACAGCCTAGGCAGTAATCCCTGGGAGGTCTGGACCCTTCCTTCCACCCAGTGTTTGTCTGAGGAGCCGTCTGGGATGGAGGGAAGGGAAGAAGCAGGAGCCTGGGTCTCGTTAGAAACCATCTGCTTCCAAAGCAGAAGTTCCCCAAGGAAGGAAGGCGCCTCAGGCCTGGGTTGGTCATCTTCCCTGGCAGGAAAGGAAGGTCAAGGTCCTCCAACAGCCCCAGAGGACCCGTAGGATGTGTGAGCTTGGGGCAAGTGTGGTGGGGAGGGAGAGCTGCTGAGACCAGTGCTCGCTGAACTGTCCTTAGGGACCCGTTTGCCTCCTGAGCGCAGACAGCCCCGTGTTTCCTGTTGCTCTGCTTTCCGGTGAGGGTCCCCAGGGGGCCAGGCAGTGGTGGGGATGGCAGAGGCTAGGAGGGCAAAGCAGAAAGGATGTTCAGGTTGCTAGCCAATGGTCAGGGCCTCTGTGTGTGGGGGGACTCTTTTGTTACAGCAACTTCCAAGGTGGGAGGGGACTGCCAAAGCTGGTAGAGGTTCTTTGATATGAAATATGCTGGCGTGTGTGTGTGTGTGTGTGTGTGTGTGTGTGTGTGTGTGTGTGTGTGTGTGTAGCAGACTGGAGGGAAGGGAGAAGGGAAGAAGTGGAGCATCCTTCCTCTCCATGTTTATAAACATTGGTTAGAGTGGAGTTTGAGAGGTCTGGAGAGGCTGAAAGTGCCTCAGAATCTCAGCTGGACTCAGAGGAAAGAGAAGCACACAAGCGGTGGTGCACACCTTTAGACCCAGCACTCTGGATGCAGAGGCAGGTGGATCTCTGTGAGTTCAAGGTCAGTGTGGTCTACAGATTGAGTTTCAGACCACCAGTCAAGGCTACCTAGTGAAACCCTGTCTCAAGAAAAACCACAAAACAACCAAAACAAAAAACCCAGTGCCTCAAAAAAAAAAAAAAAAAATCAATAGAATTATTTAACTAGTCCCATTTCTCAGTGTGGCTTCCTGAGCCCAAGTCCCTCAAACAAGGTCACCTGGGCACAGTGGCAGCAATCTTTTCCTCTTCTTGTGTGGCCCACCTCCTGGCAAAGGTTTCTCTTTCCCCATGGTCTCAGTCAGTCTCCCCAGCTTCATTCCAGGGCAGTGGCAGACCCTGGCAGACCCTGGGTGACTGCCGGCCCCTCCCGGTGACCTGGGAGTGGGCATGCTGGCATCTCGAGTGCGGCCCCGGGCTGCAGCTCTGCCATCACTTCTGCTTGCGCAGGTCTGCCCGGGATGCTGCCGACACCAGAGCAGCTCCGCCTACTTCTGTGATTTCCAATGTTTGGGGGCTGCAGGGGCTTCTGTGACCCCGAAGCAAAGTGCTGAGATTGGGCGAGCATACCAGCTGGGATTTAGTCATAGGCTAAGTAAGTGGGGACAGTTTGGAGGTTTAGGACAAGCCATGACGAAGCACGCCTGAAACACAGGCGCCTCCTCACCCTCCCGGCATGCAGGCTCGCTTCCTCCTGAGGCTCTCTTCCCTACTGCGCTCTTCTGCCATCTTGGGAAGTTTTCCTCAAACCACCTTGAGCCGAGTGGAAAAACTTGTATTTCGGCCTGCTCTGGGTTCCTAGCTGAAGCAGAAAGGGGGTGTACTGGGGAAATACTAAAGCGAATCTGCAGGAAGAATTGAGGGTGGCAAAGATGAGGGCCAGGGCAGGTTGGTGACCACCACCAGTAGTACTTCCTGTTTCTCTCCACAAAACGGCTTCCTTCTCTGGTTCTCCCCCTGGGACTGAAACTTTCAGACATTAACAGCCAAGCTTGCATCAGAGAGCAAAATGGTTCCAGGTCACAGGTGGAAAGGCTTGAAGAAGGTCTCATATCGGTCCAGCCCTGAGCCAATTACTGCAAGGCAGGACCCTGGGAGGGCAGACTCCCTCCAGGGCCATGTATAAGTAGATGTGAGTTGGGCACAGTTGCCCCAAAGGGAATGCTGTTTCCATGGGGAGGAAAGGGAGTTGAGCGAACCAGCATGCACCTTGGCTCTGTCACTGTGTGGACAAAGTCATTTGGTGGGAAGGAAACCATCCTTGATCATAATTCTTAGCTGAGCCTGGTAACAGTCGGGATACCAGAACTTTTGAGACAGCAAGGTTAGGCTCAGCTTTCAGCTAAAATTCTAGTTGTCCCTCTTAAAAGCATTGGGACAGGTGTTTCTCTTTCCACTTCATTAGCAAAACACCAAGGATCAAGTGACTTAGCCAAGGTCACCCAGTAAGTCCGGAGCATCCTGCCTGTGAGGGCCTGGGGGAAGTGTCTACAGACAGGTGTGGGATTTAGACTTGGTTCTGGACTCTGAACCTTGCCTAAGCCTCTGTCTGTCAGGAGGGGAGAGCTGGGGCATGTGTAGTCAGCCAGGGTAGCCTATCTGTCTGTGAACATTTGCGAAGCAGTCACTGTGGTCAAGTTCACAGCCAGGTACTCGTCACTCATCCAATTAGAAGTTAGTAAGGCAGTGTGGGGAAGGCACTCGGCCTGAGTGGAACAGAGCAGGAAGCAGCCTCAGAGCGCTGCTCAGAGGAAGCAGCCCTTCAGGGGGGTCTACATGAGTGAGCTGGACACAGAGAGAGAGTGGACAAGTGCTGTGAGTTTATAAGCAGCAGTTGTGAAGTTACCCAAGCATGAGGAGGATGCCCTAGGTCCTGACTCCAGGAGCAGCTGGGCCCCCAAGTTCAGCCTGCTTTTCACATAGGCTCTCCTCCCAAGGCCAGCCCCTCACATGTAGTCTCCCTGTAGCTTCAGCCTCGTTATCCCAGGCCGCCAGGTTCACTTTCTCCTTCACTGGCTGCATGCTAACATCTGCTGGGGTCCTGGGCACAGGCCTGGGAGCCCTCTGACTATGACATGCTCCTGATGTGACAAACTACTTCTGCTTCAGAGTCTCGGAGACGGACCATTTTCGAATACCATCGTGTGGAACTGGACTCCGGCAAGATCACCAACACATCGGCTGTGGAGTTCACCCCATTGCCAAGTGAGTAGGGGCAGTGTGCTGCTCTGGAGCATGCTTTAGACTGAAAAATACTGGGTTCTGATCTCAGGCCCAACTTCTGATCCCTGTCACCTAACTTCTCTGGGCCTAATGTCCCCATCCTGCCAAGCTGGGGTCAGGGCTGGAGCCGCACAGGCCAAGTTGAGTACAAAAATGGCAGCCTAGACATGGAGCAGCTCACCCCAGGCCTGGGGCGTGGTTTGTGTCTAACAAATGGTATCTATTGCTAGGGATACATATCTGAACCCCACAGAGCTGAGCCTGGAGACTGCTTGGACAGGGATCCAGAAATAGATCTCTTAGTCTTTGATCATCTTTCCCCTAGAGGAGGTGTCCCTGGAGGCTGCCTCATGGGTGGCCTCGGTTGAGATGGAATTTGCTATGGAGCCAAGGCTGGCTTCTCCTTTGTGGTGATCCTCCTGCCTCTGTCCCCCAAGAGCCAGGACTACGGGCGTGTGCTACTGCGCCAGGTTGGGACTCATATTTTTCCAGAGGGTTTTGTTCCTTCTCTTGTCTCCCGAGTCTCCCTGCTGCCAACTGAAGCTGTAACCATTTGCTGGCCTTCGGTGACATTTCTTGTGACCTGTACAACCCCACCACCCACGCCCCAGCCCCCGCCGCCACTTTTCTCTTCCCTGGAAGTTCTAGGAATAGATAACAGAGAAAGAAAAAGAAAATTTTGTCATGAGTCCTGGCTGTCATCTCAGCCTGGTTCAGGCAAGTGTCTTCTCCCAGAACAAGGAACGGCCCCAGATCCCAGGGCCATTAGAAGATGAGGACACAGCCCAGGTCACAGTCAGCCACCAACCCAGTCATCCTGCACTCACGCAGGAAGCCCAAAGGCCTGGAAAGTAGGGGTTTCCCAAAGACCACCATCAGAGTAGATCTCGGGCTCACGGTGATGCAGGCCTGTAATTCCCTCTGAGACGTTAAGGCAGGAGGACATTGAGTTCAAGGCGAGCTTGGGCTGTATAGGGAGACTGTCTTTGGGGGAAATCAAACCTTAAGTCCTAGAAATCAGGAGCAAGAATATCCAAGGCCAGGCTCAACTGGCCCAGTAGTACTGGGTCATCCTGGGAGTGCATCTCTAAGACTCGCAGGAGGCTGGGAGCAGGGCAGGGACATCTGCAGTGGGACCTCAGGACTGAACAATCTGACTGCCGGCTCAGACGGGCCCTGATTCAAACCCAGACCTGCCATTCTTAGCTTCAAGACCCACCAAGCCTCAGTCTCCCCAGTGAAACGGGGTAAGGAAAGCTCCTGCTATGGTTTCCATATACTCCAGACTCCCAGGACATATGAACGGCCTGTATTGGTTTTTTGTTTGTATATTTTTGGTTTTTTGCTGATGTAACAAAATACTTGACAAAAGCAAACTTAAGAAAGGAAGGGAAGGGGCTGGAGAGATGGCTCAGTGGTTAATAGTACTGGCTGCTCTTCCAGAGGACCCGGGTTCAATTCCCAGCACCCAGAACTCACAATTGTGGCAGCTCACAACCCCCGTTACAGGGAACCCAGCACCCTCACCCAGACACACGTGCAGGCAAAACTCCAGTGCACATAAAATAAAACAAATACATTAGTTTTTAAAAGTGGGGGCTGGAGAGACGGCTCAGCAGTTAAGAGCACGGGCTGCCCTCCCAGAGGACCCGGGATTGTAGTGGCGTTTGCTCCACCCATGACTGAATGGCAGCCTGAAGGAATTCCAGCCCCCACGTGGCAGCTTACAGCTGTCTGTAACTCCAGTTCCAGGGGCCGATACCCATGGCAAAACACCAATGCACATACACATTTTTTTTTTAATTAAAAGAAAGGAAGGGAGCCGGGCAGTGGTGGCGCACGCCTTTAATCCCAGCACTTGGGAGGCAGAGGCAGGCAGATCTCTGTGAGTTCAAGGCCAGCCTGGTCTCCAGAGCAAGATCCAGGACAGGCGCAAAGCTACACAGAGAAACCCTGTCTCGGGGGAGGAGGGGGGGAGAAAAGAAAGGAAGGGTGTACTTTGGCTCACAGTTTGAGGACACAGTCCATCGTGGTGGCAAATGGGTGTGGTGAGAGCAACTCACATGGGGTGGGCAGTCAGGATGTTTCAACTCACCAGCTGTGCTACCCTACCACATTCAGGGTGGGTCTTCTGTTCTGGGTTATACCTCTCTGGGGAGGGTCCTCACAGATGCCCCCAGAGGTGTTTCTTCTAGGTGATTCAAAATCCAGTCAAGTAGGTAGTGAAGATCAACCATCCCAGGGACCAATGACCAGGAAGGCCGGAGAGAAGAAAGCAAGGGAAAAAGGAACTCCTCCAGTAATCTCAGCACACTCAGGAGGCAGAAGCAGGAGGATTTCCGGGAGTTTGAGGGCAGACTGGTCTGCATAGCAAGCTCCTGGACAGCCAGGACTACAGAGAGAGACATTGTCTCAAAACACAACAACATAAGTGAGAGACACAATAATGACCATAAATGGTCCCCAAAGTCAGAGACGCTGCAGTTCAGGAGGGACCCGGAACTCAGGAGCTCTGCCCTGAGAGGCAGTGACAAGATGCTGACAGCTTCAGCCTCCTCTCTTGCAGCCTGCCTCCAGCATCGGAGCTGCGACACCTGCATGTCCTCGAACCTGACCTTCAACTGCAGCTGGTGCCATGTCCTGCAGAGGTTTGTGTCCAGGTTACCCATGGACTTCTGAGAATGGAGGTGAGGGTGGGGTTGGGCAGTGGGTAGCCAGGGCCCGCTGACAGCCTCAGGCCTCACTGCCCACTGTCTGCCAGCATTAGGGCCTCTCTGCCCAGTGCCACTCTGACTCCTAGGACAAGAATGCCACAAGTAAGTGTCTCTCAAGGCTTGTACCTGATCAAGGTGGGTGTGTGGGTGTAAGGCCTGGGGTAGCCAGGCTCCAGGAAGACTGTCTGAAGACTCCAGAGGCTGTAGATCTCCCAGGAAGGCTGGCTCATTCTGGGTTAGGGCTTCTCAAAGAATAGGCCATAACTGGTCACTCGAAAATCACTGGTCCCTTCTGTCATGATTTCCAGGGAGACCCCAGGTCTGTATCTTGTTTGTTTGTTTGTTGTTTTTGTTTTTTTGAGACAGTGTTTCTCTGTGTAGCCCTGGCTATCTTCGAACTCCCTTTATAGACTAGACTGGCCTTGAACTCACAGAGATCCACCTGTCTCCACCTCCCGAGTGCTGAGATTAAAGGTGCCTGCATCTTAACATGGCACCTCATTTATAAGCAAGTGACAGGCCGTGACCCAAAGACTTATCACTGCCTGGTGAGCTCCATGGCCCCCCAAAACTGCCCCAATGTCTTGGGGGTGCAACAGGTTTCATGAAAACCAGGAGCATGGACGCTGCAGGTATTGGAAGTTCAGGACATTCTGGATGAGATTCAGTTTTAGGGATAAAGTTCTTAAACCCAATGCATCTTCCAGTCCTAGTTCTGGAATCATCTCCTCGCAGATTAGACTTGTAATTCAACCTTGGTTCTTCTAGCCAAGATAAATACATGTCAGGAGAAGGGAATTCCTTTGGGGACGCTGACTCTCCTGAGAGCGGGAAGCTCTACGAATTCCAAGAGCCTTTAAAGCCATCTTGAAAATTGCGAAATTACAGTCTCCAAGTCTCCATGCAGCTGCTGCAGCGGTCAGCATTTCCTTTACTCCCCTCCAACATCCCAGAGCAGAAACAGAAGCTCTTCATCCTACAGCCTGCCAGCCTGGCACACAGGATGCCAAGCCACCCACCAGAGAGCGGCAGGGACGGGATGCCATCCCATCCCTCCAAGGTGTTCTTCCCTCCGGGTGTGTCCCCCTTCCCTTTTTGGGGACCTCAATTCCTTTACCCTACGAAATGGCGTAGAGCACATGACTCTAGGAGGCATGGGTGGGGCGCACACTGTTACGGCAGCTCCTGCAACCCCAGTAGCATTTTACCAAATGCATCCAGGGCCCTTAGCAGGAGAGGCACAGAGCCCCAGGGGAAGTGGGTGGCTAGACCCCTAACTATCTTCCGGGAGGGAGGCTTTACTCTCTGTGGACTATGAGGACCACCTGGAAGGCTTGGTAAAAAGGGCAGCTGGGCTGAATGGGGTGATGTAGGCTTTTAATCTCAGCATTTAGAGGGCAGAGGCAGGCGGATATCTATGATATTTAAAGCCATCCTGATCTACTTAGTGAGTTCTAGGACAGGCAAGGCTACATATTAAGACCCTGTCTCAAAAATCAAACTAAAAAAAAAAAAAAAAAAAGCCAGCCCAAGGCTGGAGAGATGACTCAGCTGTTAAGAACACTGGCTGCTCTGTCAGAGGGATCCATCGTTCAAATCTCAGCAGTCAGTAGTTTAAAACTGTCTGCAATTCCAATTCCAGGAATCTGAGGCCCTCTTCTGACCTCTTGCAGGCACTACACACATGTGCTACACAGACATACATGCAGGCCAAACACCCATATACATAAAGTAAAAATAAAATACACCTTTAAAAAAAATCCATCTGGGCATGGTGGCACTTGAGAGGATGAGGCAGGAACATCAGGATTTCAAGGTCATCTTCAGTTGTGTAGTGAGTGTGAGACCTGCACAAAATGTGATTTCCCAGGGACCAAGATCCCAGGAGCCCGATTTTTGGAGTGCTTCTTCTCATGCATTTTCAAAGCCGAGCAGCATTTTCTGAGCCTTGGGGTGATACTTCAGATGACCTCACATGATCCCTGGGATCTGGGGGCTGCTGCCAGGCATGACTCAGTATCCGACCCGTGCTGAGCCATAGGAAAATGGGTCAAACATAGCAAACCCTTCCTTCACCACTGCCGCCCCCAGTTAGGGACCACACCCAAACTTAGAGACAAGACGAACTTGGTGGAATAAGAGCCGGAGTCCCTGAATGTGAAGATGCTGGCCAGGTGGGGAAGTGTAGGGGCTCTGCTGGTGAGCTCTACCTCTTCCACAAAACAGGGATGCCCCATCAGAGGGCACAAGGGAGCTGAAACCACCCATCCCAGCCAGACACCCACAGCACTGGGCTCGCTCCAGCCCATGCTTCCCCCAGCCAGCTCTCTGGGGCCTCAGCTCCAAGTGAGAGTTGATCCGAGTTCTCTGAACAGCCAGAGGGCAGGGCTGGGACACTGGGGACACCAGTGGGTGTCTTCTCCCCTCTGTCCCACTCACCCTGCCCTCTTTAGCCACTCAGGGCCTCCCTTCCCTGCTCTGTAAAGAAGTTTCATCAACCACGGCAGGTACTTTCATTTTATTCTACACTGATCCCCGCCGCTTGTCCCCTTGACTCATAGTGGAATCTGTGGGTGGCCTTAGCCCTGGAAATGATGGTCATAATTCTCACCTTACCATGTCATTGTGAGGGTCCCTTGAGATGGGTCTGGTGCAGTGGCAGACCACCAGATATTCCAGAGATACTCAGTAAATGACCCATTCCCATATTCTTCTCTGAGTCAGTGTTGGCTAACTTGAGACTTCACATGTGCTGTTAAACCCAAACTGAAGACTCCGGATTGTGGTATATTGTTTTGTTTTATTTGTGTATATGGATGTTTTTCCTGAATGTATGTCTGTGCACCATGTTCATGCCTGGAGCCTTTGGAGGCCAGAAGAGGGCATTGGATCCCTTGGAATTAGAGTCACAGACAGTTGTGGGCCTCCCTGTGGGGATGGAACCTGGGCCCTCTTGTCTGGAACTTGCCCTGTAGACCAGGCTGGCCTTGAACTGCTTCTTTGGCATACACCACTGCAACCAATGTGAAGATTCAGTCTTTTGTGTTGTGTTTTGTTTTTCTTGTTTTCTGAGATAGGGTTTCTCTGCGTGGTCCTAGTTGTCCTGGAACTTACTCTGTAGACCAGGCTGGCCTCGAACTCAGAGATCCGCCTACCTCTGCCTCCAGAGAGCTGGGATTAAAGGTGTGTGCTAGAGAGATGGCTCAGAGGTTAAGAGCACTGGCTGCTCTTCCAGAGGACCTGAGTTCAATTCCCAGCAACCACATGGTGGCTCACAACCATCTGTAATGAGATCTGGTGCCTTCTTCTGGCCTGCAGGGATACATGCAGGCGGAACACTGTATACATAATAAATAAATAAATCTAAAAATAAATAAATAAATAAATAAAAATAAAGGTGTGTGCCACCATCACCAACAACAACAACAACCGGGCTCAACTTAGTCTTAAATGCTCTACCAATGTCATCAAAGAAGCCTGAGTTCCAACCTCCAAACTGCACTTTGTCCTCCAGCCCCTGAAAAGTGAGAGAAGAGCGTGGTTGGCCCAGCTCAGCCTCTGGAGGCCCAGTGAGATAGCCCTCAGGGAACTTGGCTTTGATCTCACTGGGTGGGCACACGGCAGCTGCTGGAGCTGAGTTAACTTGCTGAGAACTCTTTCTCTGAGCTAGTAGGTTGGGATGTTATTCTTCCATGGCGATATGCTTGGGTCGCATCGGGCTTAGTGGCTTCCTCTGGCACCAAGAAGGAAGAACGGAAATTTAAGCAGGATGCTGGCAAAGAACATTCTCCGGTTCATGCTTGTGCCCCACCCTCCCCCTAGGAAAGCCCTTAGTGTCTTCTTCCTCTGCAGAGACCCTGCCAGTCTCTGACGTCATTCTTTTGTTGTTGGTTTGGTTTGGTTTTTTTGAGACAGGGTTTCTCTGTGTAGTTTTGGTGCCTGTCCTGGATCTCGCTCTGTAGACCAGGCTGGCTGTGAACTCACAGAGATCTGTCTGGCTCTTCCTCCCGAGTGCTGGGATTAAAGGTGTACACCACCACCACCCGGCTCTGACACCATTCTTATTCTTGTCCCCTTGTGATTACACAGAGGGAGTTGGCCACTTTACATGATCTGATGCCACCCTCCACCCAGCCTCTGCTGCCAAAGGGAGACCCCTTAATGGTGATGAAGAGCCCTGAATGAGCAAGGCTTTCTCCAAAGGAAAACACAGGCCTGGACATGCCAGATTCCTAGCAACGCCTTAGTACAGAGTCAAAGGGATCCTGGGTTTTCAGAGTCCTGCACACACACACACACACACACACACACACACACACACACACACACACACACACACACACACTGCTGGGCAGAGAAAGCCTTGATCTGGGGAGCTGGGTCAGAAGGAAGAAGTAGAGGACATGAGGATCTGACTGCAAGTCCCATAATCCCCTCCTGCCCAGGGCACCTGCACAGTGGCCTTTCTGGAGCCTAGCCAGCCAGCCTAGAGCTGAGCGCCTCCCCTCACCACCCTCACGGAGCTGTTAGTGAGTAGAGGGGTGAGTGAGGGGGGGGGGTTCTCTGCTGAACTCCTCATATCCTGTATTTGGTTTCCCTACAGATGCTCCAGTGGCTTTGACCGCTACCGCCAGGAGTGGTTGGCCTACGGCTGTGCCCAGGAGGTGAGAAGTGTGAGTGATCTGCTATAGTCCCTGGTTGAAGAAGGGATGCTGCCAGAGGACTGCCCTTGATAACGCTTCTCAAGGTGGCCTTGGCTTGTGACGGCCTCATCCTCTCCTTCATCCCAGATAGGTTTTTCTGTTCTGCTCTGAGCCACTGTGGAGGATTTTCCAGGGCTCGTTGAATCCTTGAGTCTAGTTCTGCTGGTGATGTGGCCTTGAGCAGGCAGCCCTTGGGAACTCTGTTATGTCTAGAAGGGGGGTGTTGGGTCTGGCCTTAGCCACGGCTGACTCCTCTGGGCCACTGTACTCCTTGAAATGTTAATGAAGCTCTATCCCTCCTGATTTTGAGGGAGGTGGTCATTCTGAGAGTGAGGGGGGTTGTTTCAGGCAACTCCTACTTAGAATCCCATCCAGGTCCCTTCTCCAGAACACTCTAGACCAGTGATTCTCAACCTTCCTAGTGCTGAGACCCTTTAATACAGTTCCTTGTGTTGTGGTGACCCCCAACCATAAAATTATTTCGTTGCTACTTCATAACTGTAATTTTACTACTGTTATGAATCGTCATGTGAATATTTTTGGAGATAGAGGTTTAAAAAGGGGGGAGCCGGGCGGTGGTGGCGCACGCCTTTAATCCCAGCACTCGGGAGGCAGAGCCAGGCGGATCTCTGTGAGTTCGAGGCCAGCCTGGACTACCAAGTGAGTTCCAGGAAAGGCGCAAAGCTACACAGAGAAACCCTGTCTCGAAAAACTGAAAAAAAAAAAGGGGGGGGAATAAAAATTAAAATGAAATAAAATAAAATAAAAAATGAGGGGTCGCGATCCACAGGTTGAGAACCACTGCTTTAGTCTGTAGAGCATCTTCTCACATGTGCAAGAAGAGGCGATCTCACCCAGGCTCCAATCCTTTCCCACCTCCTCTCAGATAGGGCCTCCCTTTGTAATCTAGGCTAACCTCGAACTCACGCAGCTTCCTGGTCTCACTTCATTATGTACTGCTCCATACTTGCATTTATTTAACATGACCCAAAAAGCTGGGGACCAGGGCCCTCGCTGGCCAGAGGGGAAACTGAGGTACAGATATGTTTAAAGACTTGGCCTGACATTCACCACCGCAAGGAGCCAGGCTCAGTGTTTAAACACGAGCCAGCCCTTCAGGCTTCCCGGCTATGTTCTCATCTTTCTCTGCTCTTAGGAAAAAAATAATTGGGGCAGCAAAATGGCTCAGAGAGTCGAGGGGCCTGCTGCTAAGCCTCAGACCTGAGTTCAGTTCCTGGACCCCACGTGATAGAAGGCAAGAACGGACTCCTGCAGTTTGTTCTCTGACTTCTGCTTGCTGTGGCGATCACACACTTTAAATAGATAACACACACACACACACTAAATAGATAAATGGCGGGGGAGGGGGGTTGGGGGGAGCCAGCCACATCTGACATTGGCTGTTAGTGACTGTTAAGATATTATTTATTTATTTTGTTTTGATTTTTTTTTTCTTAAGACAAGGTCTATGTAGTCCTGGCTGTCCTGGAATTCACCATTTAGACCAGGATATCCCCAAACTCTCAGAGATCCCTTTGCCTCTGCTTCTAAGTGTTGGCATTAAAGGAGAGCACCCAGCCAGTGACTGTTAAGATTTTATCTGTTTATTTTATTTAAGATTGACATCTCAGCCCCCTCCTTAGGGAGTGATTTGAAGTTGCTGACAGATAAATTATCCTGTAATATAGGACACTTTCAAGATAAAGTAGAAGTTTCCATCTTCATTATTTTCTGAGGCAGGTTCTCACTCTGATGACCAGGCTGGTCTTGACATCCCCATCCCCCCTGCTCCACCTCCCAAGTAGTTGAGGGCAAGTGTAAGGTTTGAGTGCATTCAAGGCTGGCCGTGTCCGGAAGCAGCACTGGGGTCTCTTGCAGGCAGAGGGCAGGACATGTGAGGACTTCCAGGATGAGGGCCACTACTCAGCCTCCCCCGACAGCTCCTTCGGCCCCTTTGATGGTGACCGCACCACCTCTTCCTCCCTCTTCATCGACAGTCTCACCACCGAAGGTAAGACATGAGTCCTGGGGCAGAGAGGATCCCCAGGAAGAGCCTGCCCATCCCTGACAGGGACCATCTCACAGGACAGGGATTGCCCTGGTCTTTCACTGACCATGCACTGAGATTCAGAAAGCTTAGCTGTCTTGGTGGTGAGATGCAGAAGCCGATACAGAAGGAGAAGCTCTGACTACTGGGAAGACTGACCGTGGGACCGTGAGATGGAGGTCTCCTCAGAGACGGGGAAATGGATGTTAGAGCACCCTATCTTAATATTAATCTTGCAGAGCCCATGAGTCTATTTATACTGTAGAACAATAACTCTGCCTGGGAGTCAGTGGTGAGAGACAATTGATTTTTTTTCCCCATAACCTACCTTTATTTTTTTTTCCTTCTTCGGTACTATTGAGCTCAGGGCCTTGCACGATGCTAAGCAAACACTTTACTACTACACTACATGCCCAGCCCTCTTGTTTTACTTATTTTACTGAGACAAGGTATATTAGTTACTTTGCTATTGCTGTGATCAAACAGTGTGACCAAGGCAATTTATAAAAGAAAGAGTTTAATTGGACTTATGGTTCCAGAGGGTTAGAGTCCACGATGGTGGAGCAAAGGCATGGAGACAGGAACAGCTGAGAGCTCACATCTCAAACCACAAACAGGAGGCAGAGAGAACACACTGGGAATGGCGTGAGTCTTTTGAAACCTCAGAGGCTGCCCCCAGGGCCACACCTCCTCCAGCAAGGCCACACCTCCTAATCCTTCCCATACAGTTCCACCAACTAGGGACAAGTATTCAAACATATGAGTCTATGGGGTGGGGGGCATTCTCATTCAAATCGCCACACAGGGTCTCACTCCCCCAACCTGATCTTGAACTTAGGAGCAATCCTCCTGTCTCAACCTTCCAAGTTCTGGAATCACAGATGTGAGCCACTATGTTCAAGCTTTTTTGAGTCAAGGTCTCATGTAGCTCAGGCTGGCTGGAACTCACTGTATAGTCAAGGATGACCTTGAACTCCTGATCCTCCTGCCTCAACCTCTCAAGTGCTGGGAATTTTTTTGGGGGGGGCAGGAGAAAGGGTGAGACAGAGTCTCTTTCTACATACCCACGGCTGTCCTGGAACTCTCTCTGTAGACCAGGCTGGCCTCAAACTCACAGAGATCCTCCTGCCTCTGCCTCCCTCATGCTGGGATTAAAGGCATTTGCTACAATGCCTCTCTTACTTTTACTTCTGACTCAGTCTTCCTTCTTGGGTTGGTGCCCATCTACTTCCTACTAAGGCCCGACTGTCCGCAGGGTTCCTTTGCTGCCTCGAAGCCTGGGGATCTTAATTGAAGTTGCCAGAGATCAGGATACCTGGAACATCGTGTGAGTGTCGATGACAGTCCCTGCGGCCTCCAGTCCTAAGGGCTTTGAGTCTTTTCTTTTCCTCAGACCCTTTTAGGATTTAGTCCTCGACCTGATCCTTTTCCCTTAGGAAGGCTGAAAGGCTTGTGAGATATTTATAGCGTCCCTGGAGAGGAGGGAAGGGGAAAAGAAAAGGCTAGCATCTGAAAATACAATGCAGTCTTACTTGATAGTAAGAGGCTTATAAGAGGCCAAATCAGCCACTCAGGGCTGCATGAGATCCCCTGACCTTCTAAACACCTAGACTAGAGAGACAGCTACCTCAGACCTGACAGGAAGAAAATGAGCCACCAATGGAAAGACATCATGGGGGCACTAGCCATGTGCCAGGAGGATACACAGTCACACATTAGCACCCTATCTCCACAGTCCTGGGTAGTGATATTATTGCACCCCCATTTTGTAGAGGAGACACTACGACTCAGAGAGGTGAATGTCTTGCCTAGGGTCACACAGACAGGAAGACATGGAGACATGGTCTCACTGGACTCCAAGAATTCTAGACTTCCCCTGCCTTCCTCTGTGCTGTGAGAGGCAAAAGCAGGTCTGTACGAATCCAGGACACAGGAAAACAGCAAAGGGTAAACATAATTCTGAAAGCTGGCCTTACTTGTGCAGCCAGGAATGACAAGGTGTCCAGACTGTGACATAGGACCAGAGCACACATTGCTGCCTCAGAATTCGATGAGACTCAGTAAGGATGGAGCACACGGGAAACTTGTTCTCAGAGCATTAGTATCCCAGGGCAGTATGCTCTGAGATACTATCCCAGGGCAGGAGTGACCTCCATTTACCTTCCAGTGTCAACCTCCAGGATCATAGGAATGGGGTGTCGCTAATGCATGGCTCTCAACCCTCCTCCCATAGTCAATCCCCCCAAAGCTGTCAGGTCTCTTTATCAACGGCTCATTCTCCTCCAGTCAAGTCTGAGGTCTGCTGGTGCTCTCTAGTCCTCTAGGTGATGTTCAGAACAATCCTAATAAGCTAATGAATCACCCTCAGCTTAACCTATGTGTAGGGGTCCTGTCTGCTCCTGCACTGGGCTCAGAGCAAGCCCATCCACTCAGAGGGCAGCTGTGTGGTAGAGCAGCAGCACCAGGAAGTGGAAGTTCAGCTGCATGGACCCCAAGACACAAGATCTAGGGGCTGAGTGCAAATCCTGCTTGTACTCACAGCCCCGCTCAGGGCTGATTCTCTCATGGGTTCTCTCAGTACAGAGGCAGTGAGTGAGGTATGCCAGTGGCATCACCTGAGTGAGGTATGCCTGCAGCATCACCTGAGTGAGGTATGCCTGCGGCATCACCTGCACGCATCTCCTGCCTGCCTGTGTGCTGTGTAATAGTTCCTCACAGAAACATTCAATAAAATGAGGATGTTTATGGCTCTGGGTCCTTTCTGTGCCAGAGGACATGGCAAACATTGTCAAGTTACATCCATAAGAAATGAACTTTGGGGCCGGACCGTGGTGGCATATGCCTTTAATCCCAGCACTTGGGAGGCAAAGGCAGATAGATGGATGTTTGTGAGTTCGAGGCCAGCCTGGTCCACACAGTGAGTTCCAGGACAGTCAGAGCTGTTATACAGAGAAACCCTATCTTGAAAACCAAAATAAAACAAACAAACAAAAAGAAATGAACTTTGGGGTTGGGGATGTGGCTCAGTGGTAGAGCACTTGCCTACCAGGCACGAGGTCCTGAACTTAACTCCAAGAACTGCCAAAAAGACAAGAGGAACTTCACGAACATTCCCCTCAGTGATCCCAGCCTCTCAAGGTATGAGTGACAGGGGTTGGTCACTCTCCCATCTGTGCAGTGACATGCCACCTTCATCACTAGTAGAGGCATGCATGGGATAGTTGACCTGATGCTGTCTTTCTTGGAGTACAGTCTAATCCTAGGAGATGTTGTAAAGTGACAGATGTGGGACTGCAGCAGCGAGCCTGCCTGGACAGGACAGAGACAGAACACAGGGATTTGGAGGCCTGGGGCCTGGATTTAAGTGTTCACATATAGTCAAAAGCCCCTCACTCCAGTGGACAGATCACCTCTGAATAGTGAGTAACTGTGAGAAAGCCTGTGAGTTTACTGAGGGTGGAAGACTCACACCAGGCATCACTGTGGCATCTGAGGGCTCGGCTTAGCAGCTAGAACTAACAACCGGCTAGATGAGTGGTTATTCCAGAAGCATCACCTGCCTATCTGCCTCTGAGTGTGTTTGCCAGACAATCCAGCCCATTCATTAGTCGGCCAACTGCATCTTGGCCTCGTGCCTAAGAACAACTGTAGTGTCTGCGCTTATCAGTTTAATAGCTGATGCATCCTCTTTCCTTTGAGTAGAGGGCCACCTCATACTTGCCAGAGCCCTGGCAAGATGGCCTCTGGGACCCAGTCCCGGTGAGCAGGAGACGCTGCCTTGGGCAGTGTGGCCACCTTTGGTGGCTCTGTAGGACAGACTGGAACAGTCACTGGTGTCCATTGGTCTGCCAGGATAGGTGTGGACTTGACTGTAGTTGAAAGGACTCAAAGGGATGCTGAGATGAAGTCGGGGGGGATGGGGTGGCATGGAGTTTACTAGAAGAACTATTAATGCTATGGACAGACAGACAACAGCATGATGGGAGCTCTGAAGAGAGGAATCGGGGCCCACATGACTGAAGTTCAAGTCTCTCCTTACACCTTCCTTGAGGATGGGAGTGGTTTCACTGCACAAGACTGCAGCCAGGCTCTCAGGAAGGAGCCAGGGAAAGGGCAGAGAGCGGGTGTGGGGCCATCAATACACAGAGTGTCTCAGCAGAGTGCCTGTCTGTGTCTGTGAGAGAGGAAGGGCTACTGCAGGCATTGGGGGCTGAGCAGCACTGGATTCTTCTAACATACATTCTTGGGGCTGGAGAGATGTCTCAGTGGGGAAGAGCATTAGCTGCTCCTCCAGAGGACCTGCATTTGATTTCCAGCACCCACACACGGTGGCTCACAACCATCTGCAACTCGAGTTTTCCAAGGGATCCAGTGTCCTCTTCTGATCTCCTTGGTAACCAGGAATGCACATGGTGCACAGACACATGCAGGCAAAACACCCATACGCATTTAAAAAAAAGTTTAACATTACATTCTTCAAGTAATTGGTTTGTCTATATTCCCAGTCAAGCTAATTTATCAATGATATAGTTAAGGCTACTTCGATCAGGTTTTTTTTTTTTTTGTTTTAATTTTTTCCTGTGTTTTGTTTCTTGAGATAAGGTCTTGCTATACTATGTAGCCCAGGCTGGTCTTGAATTGGGGATGATCCAGCCTCAGCCTCAAGCCACGCACAAGTCTTCGGTCAGTTTTTGTTAACCAATTATATTCAACTTGCAATTAAAAATTAGGTTCAGCCGGGCGGTGGTGGCGCACGCCTTTAATCCCAGCACTCGGGAGGCAGAGCCAGGCGGATCTCTGTAAGTTCGAGGCCAGCCTGGTCTCCAAAGCTAGTTCCAGGAAAGGCACAAAGCTACACAGAGAAACCCTGTCTCGAAAAACCAAAAAAAAAAAAAAAAAAAAAAAAAATTAGGTTCAAAATTGCATTTAAGTATCCTTATTGAAGTCCTAGAAGTATATTTATGAATCTGTGACTCTTTTCAATTTGTAGGAATTAGCTTTTTAATTTTTTATTTAAAAATTATTATTTTTAATTATGTGTGTGTGCGTATGCTCAGGAGCGCCCTAGGAGGCCAGAGGTATCAGATCCTCCTGGGATAGAGTTCCAGGAAGTTGTGAGCTGTCCAACATGGGTGCTAGGAATCAAATTCAGGTCCTCTGCTAGTCTGTTCTCTTAATCACTGAGCCATCTCTCCAGCCCTATAAACATCTTTTTTTTTTTTTTTTTTTTTTGGTTTTTCGAGACAGGGTTTCTCTGTGTAGCTTTGTGCCTCTCCTGGAACTCACTTGGTAGCCCAGGCTGGCCTCGAACTCACAGAGATCCGCCTGGCTCTGCCTCCCGAGTGCTGGGATTAAAGGCGTGCGCCACCACCGCCCGGCATCTTTTTTTTTTTTTTTAAGATTTGTTTATTTATTATGTGTACAGTGCTCTGTCTGTATGTGTCCCTGTGGGCCAGAAGAGGGCATGGGATCTCATTATAGATGGTTGTGAGCCACCATGAGGTTGCTGGGAATTGAACTCAGGACCTCTGGAAGAGCAGTCAGTGTTCTTAACCTCTGAGCCATCTCCCCAGCTCCCCCTATAAACATCTAAAAATTACAATTAGTGTGTGTGCATGATGTGTGCAGGAGCACACGTCACAGCGCATATGTGGAGGTCAGAGGAATCAAACCCGGGTCACTGGACTTGTGCGGCAAGCACCCCTGCCTCTGAGCCATCTCACTGACCCAAGGGATTGGCTTTTTTTTTTCTTTTTCTTTTTCTTTTCTTTTTTTTTTTTTTTGGTTTTTCGAGACAGGGTTTCTCTGTGTAGCTTTGCGCCTTTCCTGGAACTCACTTTGGAGACCAGGCTGGCCTCGAACTCACAGAGATCCGCCTGGCTCTGCCTCCCGAGTGCTGGGATTAAAGGCGTGCGCCACCACCACCCGGCTGGGATTGACTTTTTATATTTACAGTTTAAAATCATTAGTAATTGAAGGATAATTGTTGGGGTTTCAAAGTAAAATCTGCAGAAGCAGGTATAGTCGATGATGTCTTGTTTCTTTTTTTTTTTTTTTTTTTTTTTTTTTGGTTTTTCGAGACAGGGTTTCTCTGTGCAGCTTTGCGCCTTTCCTGGGACTCACTTGGTAGCCCAGGCTGGCCTCGAACTCACAGAGATCCGCCTGGCTCTGCCTCCCGAGTGCTGGGATTAAAGGCGTGCGCCACCACCGCCCGGCTGATGTCTTGTTTCTTGTTCTGCTCCTCCAGCTTATTTCCTCTTCCCCCCACAAAGAACAAGTTTTTAAAATTTTTTAAAAGTTTTTTTTTTTTTAGGTATGTGTTTTCCCAGCATGTACGGCTTCGTACCACATGCATGCAGTGCTCACAGAGGCCAAAAAAGGGTGTGAGATCCTCTGGAACTGTGAGCTGCCACGTGGGTGCTGGGAGCCGAACTTGGGTCCTCTGGAGGAACAGCAAGCACTCTTAACCCCTGAGCCATCTCTCCAGCCCCCAACTTAAATTTTTTTAGTATAGTTTTCTTCCATTATCTCCATTTTGACACTTGAAGACCCTGAGAGCACAGGCAGTAGATGTGGAAGCCTTGGGGACCCCAGTGCTGCAGACAAGCAGATGCCAAGGCCAGTGAGGCCCAGAAAACACAACCAACTGTCCCCTGAGAAGGGGCAGTACCGGGACCAGTGAGAGGCAAGCAGAGCAGTCAGCTTGGGTGAGAACTTAAAGGAGGCTCCAAAGAACCCAAAAATAATTATTTGAGATAAATAGTTCAATGTAGTATTGATAAAGATCAAAATTAAATCTAAAGATTCTACAATGTACCAAAGGCCAAAGTTTTCAGCAGAGGATGGCACTCCCAGGTCAGCTCTTCAGTTTTCCGTGGTGAGACACCGGAGGAGGAAGTCAGAGGGGAGGTTTGGGGAGGGGCACGGAGGAAGTGACAGTATGCACAGCTGAGCAGATGTGTGGAAGGCCAGGGGGTCTGAAGCAGCTTCTCCAGCTACTCTTTTTTTTTTTTAAGAGTGTGTTTTTATTTATTATGTATACAGAAGAGGGCGCCAGATCTCATTACAGATTGTGAGCCACCATGTGGGTGCTGGGAATTGAACTCAGGACCTCTGGAATAACAGTTGGTGCTCTTAGTCTCTGAGCCATCTCTCCAGCCCCTCCAGCTACTCTCTTTCCAGCAGCTTCCACCACAGTGTGGAGCTATGACACTTAAAAGACTACTCGGGCCTCAACCCCCGTGAACAAACGTGGGACCCACTAGGAGTCTCAAGCAGCCTGGATGTTGGAGGTATGGCAGGGAAGAGGGATGAACTCCTGTAAATTGTGGTGCAGTTGAGACTCTGTCAAGTTGAGTTGATTAACCGAGAAAGCGGCGGTGTACACCTTGAGGTGTAGAGAGAATGTTGAAATTGCTGCAGGCCCTGGGGTCCGCAAACAAACCAGGGGACCACCGTAAGCCTTCCACAGCATCCGGCCGCCCCTTAGAAGGCCAGGCAAGATTTCTGTACAGCGTTCCAACCAGTGGCCTGGCCCCTTTCATCTCCCCCGCCCTGTAGTACGCACAGCTGGCAGATTCTTTGACTCTGGCTCTCACAGTCTTTCCCACTTCCCAGCTTAGGATTCACTTCCTCCCTCTGGGAAACTTGTTGATTCCCCTGATCTGGGTGAGGCCTGCAGAGGCTTCATCATCTGAAGTTTATTTGTTTATAGTTTGGGGTTTTTTGTTTGTTTGTTTGTTTGTTTTGTGTGTGTGTGTGTGTGTGTGTGTGTGTGTGTGTGTGTGTGTGTGTGTGTGTGTGTGTGTGTTAGAGGCTAAATCCAGAGCTTCTCACGTGTCCCACGCTTGGCATGTGCTCAGTGACTGAGCTACAGCCTGGCATTGTGTGTGTTCAATTACCCGTATATTCCCTTCCCGATGTGGGTGGGGACCATGTCCATCCTTTATCTGTGGTCTCCCTCGCCCTGACCCCCGTGCCCAGCCCACAGTAAACACTCATATAATGTCTGTTGAATGAACGACACAAGACAGGAAAAGCTGGCTTGTCCCAATCCCCCCCATTGCACGGCCATACAGTTCTGAGCAGGACACCTCCCCTGTCTAAATGGAAAGTTTGGAAAGGACGCCTCCTGGAAGTTCCATCCAGACCCAGGGTGACAGATGTCTGAATGATTGCACTAATTTTGCTCTTTCTGCCCTCTTTGAAGATGACACCAAACTGAATCCCTACGCAGGAGGCGATGGTGAGTGCAGAACTGTCTGTCCCCCTTCACCAGATGGACGGCTGTGGGCCCACCTTGAGGAGTCCCAGCAGAGGGGGAGGGAGAAAAACAAAGCAACCAGGGTCCCAGGCCTCTGGCTGGACAGGAGGGCTGGGGTCGGAGGTCACAGACCCTAGGTTGATGAAGCATGTCTACTCTCAACACCCCTTGTCTCAGCCAGGAGCCTCCGGGGTCTACTGTCCTGAAAAGAATTTGAGGAAGTGGATGAACCAGTGCCACTTGGCAGGGGGACTTGGGACAGAGGGTCCTGCTTCCCTGTGAGCCTCAGCTGTATGGGGAAAGCAGTTTCCCTGTCAGTCAGTTTCCCTCCCGGGCAGAGTATGCAGATGTTGTCCACTGCAGGCCTGTAGGGGTACCAGAAGGTGGGCTACTGCCAGCCTCAGGGAGAAGGGTACCTACTTGCTGTATCCACTACAAGGATGGATGTGGGAATGCCTTTCCAGTCCTCCGTCGGGCTGGAGGGAGTCGAGCAGGAGAGGCTCCTTTTTTACAGCATCCTGGCATACCTCCCAGTGGAGATGACACCATTGTTCCCCTCCACGAGTTTGAGAGACTGGGTGTGTGGTGGGGGAGGAGCCAGGCTCCTCCAGCTCGTGCTACATGCTCATCCACCACAACCCTGAAGGTCAGATCACAGTGTCACAGCAAGCTAAGGGCTGATGGCCAACCACCAAGTCAGCAGAGCCTAGCCTGGGTGTGCCCTTTCAACGTCCCCACTTCATGGAAGGTTGAGGCCCTATCATCACTAGAGTGGCCTGGATAGTTTCTATCCTGGGTTTCTTCTATGTACACGGTGCCCGCAGAGGCAAATGGGGAGAGCAGGGATCCTGATGCAGTCAACATCCTATCCGAGTCCTCACACTCCACTGCCTCCCTTCCTACCCAAGAGCCATGTGAGAAGGAGGTTTCTGTTGCTGACATTCACATCTGTCTTTTTAGCTCATACCTCTACATTAGGTAGGGGAGGCAGCAAGTACCAACTACAGGTAATGTTAGGGAACCCGGCTTCTCGCCATCTGATACTGTCTGTGTGTCCTTAGGCAAATGGCATAACTTCTCTGTTTCCGTTACCTTAGCCATAAAAGAAAAGGTGAGCTTGGATGAGCCCTCTTATCCTTGGGATGTATTTCAAACGCCTGGGATGTTCTCTGACAGTGGTTTGTAGGTGCCTCCAGAGGCTCTAGTTCATCCCACTGAATTCAGGCGAAATGGGACCCCCACTTCACAGTGGACCCCTTTGTTCTTAAGAGCTGGATAGCAATCCTACCATCCAGCAGGTCTCAATCTGGCAACAGACAGAAGCAAGGATAACTATGGATATTTGCTATCAAAGCAATTAATACTAGTTCAGGACTTCCAAGATGCTGGGTGAGGTTCTCAGGACTTGGCATGAGCTCTCCATGGCACAGTGACCCCAGCTAGACAGCTGTTGTCCTTGTCCTACAAAGGTGATAACAGAGGCTAATTTGCCCAAAGTCACAGAGCTAATAAGTGGCATTTATTCTTGTTATTATTATTATTATTATTTAGATAGGTATCCTTACTGTATAGTACTGGCTGTCCTGGAAACCACTCTGTAGACCAGGCTGGCCATGAGATCTACCAGCCTCTGCCTCCTGAGTGCCGAGATCAAAGGCGTGCGCCACCACACCCAGGCTGGGTTCAAACGGGCTATGTAGGTGAGGATGTGACCTTGAACTCTCGATCCTCCTGCCTTCTCCCAAGTGCAGTTACAGGCCTTTGAGATCACACTCAGCGCTAAGATCCCAATTTTTTTAAAATTACATTTATTTTGTGTGTAGAGTCTGTGAACACCTGCTACCCTCCCTGTGGAGGTCAGGGGACAATTTGCAGGAGTCAGCTCCCTCCTTTCCACCATGTGGTTCTCAGGGATGGAACTCAAGCTATAAGGCTTGGCAGCAAACGCCTTTACCCACTGAGCCGTCTCGTTAGCACCAAGATCCCAAACTCTTAACTATCACGTGCCTTTTGTGACCAGGTATTTGATTTGTGAAAGCTTCCTTATAACTTCTTCTTCTTCTTCTTCTTCTTCTTCTTCTTCTTCTTCTTCTTCTTCTTCTTCTTCTTCTTCTTCTTCTTCTTTTTCTTCTTCTTCTTCTTCTTCTTCTTCTTCTTCTTTTTTGAGACAGGGTTTCTCTGTGTAGTTTTTGTGCCTGTCCTGGATCTCACTCTGTAGACCAGGCTGGTCTTGAACTCACAGAGATCCGCCTGGCTCTGCCTCTGGAGTGCTGCGATTAAAGGCGTGCACTACCGCCACCTGGCCCTTATAACTTCTTAAGAGCAACTTCTAAATGATTCTAGAAAATACCTTAAAGGTGCCAGAACATTCATGTAGTTAGAATCATCCCACCAACTCCCACCACACCTCTCTGTGGGTTTGAAAATGTGGGTGTTTGTCTTTGGGACCTTGTCAGAACCTGAGGCTCTGAGGCCCAGCTTTTTTTTTGCTCCCTGAAATCTTTCTCTGTTCTACCTGTATCTCCACAGGACTTCAGGATAACTTGTCCCCAAAGACCAAGGGTCCTCCTGTGCACCTGGGCACCATCGTGGGCATTGTGCTGGCTGTGCTCCTGGTAGCGGCCATCATCCTGGCTGGGATTTACATCAGCGGCCACCCCAACTCCAATGCTGCGCTCTTCTTCATCGAGGTCTGTAACACGAAATCTAGTAGGTCTTTTAATAAAAAAATCTGGGGCCAGATATTGGGTAAATGCTGACAGATCAGAGAGACGAAGGAACAAGCCTCAGCCACCACCTCTCACCTCACCAACTCCTCAGCCTGAAAAGACTTTTAGTTCCTGTCTCCTCATGCCTTATATACCTTTCTCCGCCCAGGCATCACTTCCTTCCTAGTGCTGGGATTAATGGTGTGTGTGCCTCCCAAATACTGGGATTAAAGGTGTGTGCCACTATTGCCTGGCTCTGTTTCTCTCCTAGACTGAGTCAATCTCATGTAATCCAGGGTGGCTTTGAACTCACAGAGATCCAGGCAGATCTCTGCCTCCCGAGTGCTAGGATTAAGGATGTGTGCCACCACTGCCTGGCCTCTATGTTTAATCTAGTGGTTTGTTCTGTTCTCTGATCTTCAGGCAATTTTATTAGGGTACATAATATATCACCACAGAGGTTAGTGTGGGATTTGCCTGTATCTGCTTCAGGCCGGTTTCCACATCAGTATTTCCCTCGCCATTCAGAACCTGCCTCGCCCCATCCCATCCCATCCCTCACCTCCCTGAGAAACTTTCCTCCACTCCATCACATCTTCGGTGGCTGGTGCTCTGGAAGTCTGCGGACCAGGACCCAGCATCTAGGTTTCCTTCCCTGGGGTGCGGCTGATTTCCCCACTTATGAGGTTAGGAAAGCCCCCAGAGGAAATCGTCAGAAATGCCATAGAGTACCCCGTAGTGGCAGGGGGCTGTCCCCTAATGGTTTGCTGTTTCTTGTACCCAAATTCGAGATTTTGGACTTATTCAGAGTCATGATGGAGCCAACGTATTTCACTGCTTCTGTAGACTTTTTACCTGACAGCTGACAAGCCAAAATGTTATTGAGGGCTGGGCTCTCAGGGAGTTTTCGCTGGGAATGCTGCAGTTTTGATGTTCCAGAGCTCAGAGGGAACAGGAGTATATCACGGGAAGTAAGGCTTAGCAAGCCACAGAGCTCAGTGACACCTGGCCCCTATCCCACTGGTAAAGACATTTCCAGAGACTCATGGTAAACTGTCCCTCAATGATTTCTGAGGATGTGAACATGATTGAGGCACTGACCCTGCCCTCTAGGAGGTCACAAGCAGATGGTGCCCCCAGGGAACTCCTCACCAGCACTTTTGTAGCACATTGAGGTGAACTTCCCCAGAACCCTTATTAAGAAGGATCATTTGAGAAGGTTCCAGAGGGGCACATCTGATACATCAGTCTCTACCTGGTTCTCAAGCCCACAGACCTCATTCCCTAGAGGCCTGGGTAGTTCTCTCAGCTTTTTAAAATGAAACAGTGTCTTTCTAGTTGTTCTGAATTCTTAGCCTACCTGGGTATCACCAAGGACTACTGGTCCCCAGGCCACAAGGACTTCCATGGGTGGGGTCAGGGTAGGGCAAGGAATCTGCAGTTCAGTAAGTTTCCCATCGACTCTGATGCAGGACCTGTGCTATCTAGAGGGCTGTCTTGCATTTCCAGAGTCCCCTCGATCATTCAGGCATCTGTGGCCCGCTTCACCTCTTCCTACAGTCTCGCAGACCACACAGGGATGGATAAAAATGCGTTCCTTCCAAACCTGCTTCTAAACATGCCAGGCAGGTGGTGCACACCCACAATCCCAACACTTGGGAGGCAGAGGCAGGAGGATTGCTGCAAGTTCCAGGCCAGCCAGGACTATATGGGGTCCATAGTGGCTTAGGGTTTATTTGAGGAATCTTGCGAAGAGAGCTGCCCCAGCCCCAGCTGTCTCTCCACAGTGAGTCCCCATTCCTTCAGAACCCTTGTAAGAGAAAGTCTTGCACCAGCCCTCATGGATGGCATCCAATGAGGAGGTAGGATTTGCTGACTTTGCTTCTGTGTCCCTGCAGCGAAGACCTCACCATTGGCCGGCCATGAAGTTCCGAAACCACCCCAACCACTCCACCTACACAGAGGTCGAGCCCTCAGGCCACGAGAAGGAGGGCTTCATGGAGGCCGAGCAGTGCTGAGAGCATCAGGCCAAAGACCTGGGGATGGCAAGAGATGGAGTCACAGCAAAGAGGAGTGCCTTTCCTGGCTTCCTCTGAGCTGACCGTGAGCCAGGAAGACAAGACAACAGCTTATGGTGACAAAACCATAGTTTGGTCCTCACACCCCAGATAAAAGGGGTACAGTAACACAACCATGAGGGTTTCTTAAAGGAACACTAACCGCAGAGTTCTCTGTTCCGATGGGAGGGGCCCTTTTTTGGGGGTCTCTCAATGGTTTGCACTGTAGCTATCACAGAGCCCCTCCCCACTGGAGACGCCTGGTCACTGAAGCCCCTGCCGGGGCTCCTGCATTCTAGGGTCCAGAGACTCAAGGGCTGGTCTTCCTAGCTATGGAGTCAGTGCACTTGGCTCCAAACTCTGTGGCTCTGGAAGCCTGAAGAAGGGGTCCCCTCCATCCGAGAGCTCTTATCCCTTGAGACAAACCAACTGAGAGGAGAGAAAAGGAACCTTGGGGAACTTCTGTCTTCTGGCCTTGGACCTTTGCTTCATCCTTTCTGCAGAGACCCAGGGCCGACATTGGAGCACTGCAGCCTGCAGCCCAGGCTGCACCCTGCGCTGCCCCTCAGCCTCCCCCTTGCAAGCCGGTCTTGCAGGGCTGCCAGCAATGAGTGGGCGCTTGCTGCACCATGTGTCTGGTGCCCGCTTTACCCTCTGGCCTCTTCTGCTGTCAAGGCCGGGAGTTTCCTAAAGAGAGAAAACAACTTACCTGGCTCCTATTTTTCCTTGACTGACCTGGGTGGGGTCTTTTTGTAACCATTAACAACAAACAGGTGGCCAGAGGTTTCTCTGAGACCCCCCCTGCCTCAGCAGGGAGCCCCGGTTATATCCTGAGTGCCATGAAGGTAGGGCAGAGAAACCAGGCATGAGAGGGAGGGACCTTGACCTGGAAATCGGCCTCTCCAGCTCTGCAAAGAGCTTTGGGGACAGGGAGTTGTTGCTCCCCTACTTAGCCTGGTTTTAAGGGACTTCTGTCCCTGTGATGGGCAGGACTGCTTCTGAAGGACGATGAAAATCTAGAGCTTACCCTCCCTCCAAATAAATACCATCAGCAAATAAATATGTCACGGCCTCCACTCTGCCATGCCTTTGGGCATGTAAGGAAGCACCAGGGAAGAAGTTTGAGCTCCAGGTGGGTCAATGGGAGGAGGGAAGGTCGTCTGCAGATACCTGAACACATCTGGTCCAGAAAATTTGAGCTACTCCACAATTGACCCGTGAAAGGACATCAGTGACAAGCAGAACCAGAAATATGCTGCTGTCTGCTCTGCTCCATAAACCCCAAGAGAAAAGGCTGTGGGGACAGGGGTTGAGGACGGGACTTGAGAAAGTGACATCGAAGCAGAGTAGAGCACCTTGCAGACTTCAGGAGACAGCCGAGTCTGCGACCTGGGCACCAGCCCTGTGGCGATCTTTGCCAGTGACCATCAGCAAAACACCAAGGACCATTGGGTCCAAGATGGTGTTATACTTAGGTTTCTGTTGCTGTGATGAAACACCGTAACCAAAAGCAATTTGGAAAGGCTCACCGTCAGGGCAGGAACCTGGAGTCAGGAGCTAATGCAGAGATCACAGGGAGTGCTGCTTAGAGGCTTGCTCCCATGGCTTTCTCAATCTACCTTCTTTTTTTGGTTTTTTCGAGACAGGGTTTCTCTGTGTAACTGTCCTGGCTGTCCTGAAACTTACTATGTAGACCAGCCTGGCCTCAAACTCACAGATCCACCTGCCTCTTCCTCCTGCTGGGATTAAAGGCGTGCTCCACTACCACCCAGGCAGCCTACTTTCTTATACCACCCCTGGACCAGTGGTCCAGAGGTGGCACCGTGTACCATGAGCTGGGCCCTCCCACATCAATCATTAATCAAGAAACTGCCCTGTAGACCTGCCTGCACAATCTGATAGAGGCATTTTCTCAGTTGAGGTTCCTCTTCCCAATTACTCTAGCTTGTGTCAAGTTGACAAAAAACTAACCATGACAGTTGGCTAGTGGGGACACTCAGGATGTCAGCTTACCCAGGGGACAATGCCTCTGCCCCCACCCAAACTCCCTCACACTTCTTCCACTTGCAACCCGGGTAACCATGCTGGGTTCCTGAAATGGACAAATGGGGAGGGAGGCAGGGACATCTTGCTACTACCCACTGCAGATGGGGAAACAAAGTCAGGATGTGGTAGCCTGGACTGAGCCAGCCTGGCTGACCCCTGGGGTGTCACTTTTGGAGGGATATAGAGACACTGGAAAACAGGCAGACCAGTTTGTTTACATCAAAAAGCTGAAGAGCCTTGGATTCCTCAGAACAGGGCACTGAAACTCGGGCTCCCAAGAACAGCCAAGCACCCCACAGTTACCACAGACATGGTCCTTGATGGCATAAGCTTCTTCCCTGTCCAGAGAAGCATTTCTACTTCCGGGAAATTTGACCCCCAAGTTTGAGCAAGCTGGTGAGCTGGATAGGGACCGTGAGTAAACACAGGAGACACAGGTCTTAGGGCCTCTCCTCCACATCTGGCTGAGTCTGGCAAGGCAAGGCAGCGCCTCCTGTACCATGCACCATCAACCAGGCTTTCCACCCCCATGGCGCATTCAGGTAGCTGCCAGTGCCTTCTCCACATGGAGGCTGTGAGTATCCTAGGGAAAGTGGGTGGGGGCTCTGTAAAAGTTCATCACACAGTAGGAAGCTTCAGTCTGTGAACCTGGACTGGGAGGTTTCCCTGTTGTTCAAAGAGCCCGGCGGGTCCTGGGATGGCTGTGTTTTGTATCCTTAAACCAGTCAAAGAGCCAGGAAGATGGCTCCGTGGGTAAAGATGTTTGCTGCCAAACCTGAAGACCTGAGCTGAGTCCCTAGGACCTACAGGGTGGGAGGAGAGAACTGACTCCTACAAGCTGTCCTCTGACTTACACACACACACACATGAACACGTGAGCGCACACACACACATGAACACGTGAGCGCACACACATACAAACAATAAATATAATTTTAAAAGAAAATGGGAAAAGGAGGAGAATGCCAGGGCTGGGTGCAAGAGGCCATTGCCGCCTCCTTCATTCAGCCACTCCTAGATTTGTAGGCTTGTCTCCTTGTCTGATTCTAGAACACAAGTCATATGAGCCTACTGTGAACCCCAGCACCCAGGAGACCCCCCACTCAGTACCACAGACAAGCTTTCCAAGTTTAGCTGGAAATCACTCTCCAGTCATGACCACTTCACCACTTAACTGGGTGACTTACAGTTTCAGAGGTTTAGTCCGTTATCATCATGGCAGGACATGGTGGCATGCAGGCAGACATGGTGCTGGAGAAGGAGCTGATAATGAAGAAGGAGTTACATCTTGATCTCACAGGCAAGAGGAAGTGGTCTGAGATGCTGGGAGTGGCTTGAGCATATATGAGACCTCAAAGCCCACCTCCATAGTGACACACTTCCTCCAACAAGGCCATACCTACTCCAACAAAGTCACCCCCCAACAGTGCTATTCCCTATGAGTTTATGGGGCCAATTACATTCAAACTACCACAAGCCTGGAGCCTGAGGGTCACAGTGTCCTTTGGGCATCATGAAAGGTTCTTGGTGAACCTATGGAAACAATTCTTAAAATTGGTACATTTTATCAGGCTCACTGTGTCCTCTCTCTCTCTCTCTCTCTCTCTCTCTCTCTCTCTCTCTGTCTCACACACACACACACACACACACACACACACACACACACACACACACTGCTAAAAGCATTGAACAAGCACTTGGGAGGTAGTGCTGAGTAGGATCAGGAGTTTGGGGTCATCCTTGGCTGCATGTTAAGTTTGAGGCCAGCCTGAGCTACATACATTCTTATCTCAATAAAACAAATAATAACAATATGCTGGACAAGGCTAGAGCCACACTTAGCAGTTAGCACAATTTGTTGGGGCGGCAGCAAAAGCTGCTAGCCAGACACACTCTTCCAGAAACAGCGTTCACCACGTGAGCTGACCCAGTCTGATTGTGAGCAGGACTGAGGCTTCCTGGTTGTGGGGACAGACTCGGGCTGGCATGGAGTAGCACTCAGGGGCTGTACCCACAGCAGAAGAATCAATGTCACTCATTAAAACAGTCTATCTTTCTCCAAGAAGTTACTGGAATTTCAATAGATCTAGAAGGACCTGGGTTCTGGGAGACTCTGGTTACCCTACAAACAATAGATTTGTGTTTCTTGTATGAATTTCCGGTGTTAAGAATAAAAAGAAGCCATCTTTTACAACCTTGGCTTTGTGTGAAGCGTGAGATAAAGGATGTAGAGTCCACACCCCTTGATCCAATGCTTGCCCTCCCTTACCTCTTCCCAGCAGGCCCTGAGTCTGGCTGTGGAGGAAAAAAGCCTCCAGCCACTGGCCCAGCAGGCATCCTTTCCCTCTCTCCAACAGAATCATCCAGGAGCAACCCCAGTGGTGAACTTCTTGCTGAGTCTGTAAAACCTTGAGAGCCAACTTCATGCATTTTAATCTACTATCTAGAAACGAAAAATAAATCTGAGCGAGTCGATACTGTCACATTTCTGGATGCTTCACATTCGAAGAACTTCAGCAGCCTCAAGTTTTCATTCCTTTTTTTCCCCCCCTCTCACAAAACATGAGCTAGCAAACCAAACAAACAGGAAAAATTCAAACTCCTCACAGCCAAAACCACTGATGCCAAATTTCAGGATCCAAACAAGCCAGTGTATAAATAAACATGCCCTGATCGCCAAATGAAGAGGAGCATGCTGGGAAAAGCAGTGGAGGCTGTTGAAGAAGGTGGGGAGCTGCATGGAATGAGAAGGTAGGAGCTGGGGCCTCAGCAGTGCCCCTGGGGGGCTGTGTGACAAATCACTGAACCTCTCTGGGCCTGTTTCCACCTCTATGAAAGGGGCGGGGCTAGTGTAGTTGGTCCAAGGAGAGGCCTTAGCGATCTGCCCTCACCTGGTTGTTTTCAATTCACACAGCAGTTTGAACCAAAGCATCCCTTTCTCTTCCATCATCCTGACAAGATGACATTGTTCTAGTTGGTCCAAGACTCTCCTAACTCTAGTCCTGAAAGTCCTGCTTCCCAGGAGGCTCTTTGATCCCAGGCACCAGAGGCACATTGTCTTGGGGACTCTCCCACCCCATTGGCTGAAAGAATAATGTTAACAAAGTCAAGCTCTTTAGGGATGTAGTCAGGAACCTGGCTAGTCCACATATGTCCAGACAGTGTGAGCAGTGTGGGACAGTGTGGAAGGAAACACAGGACTCAGGCCCACCCACTCCAGACACACTAAGTCAGAACATACATTTGAGCAGCCTCAGGGATTCATGGGAAGCAATTCTGCATGGTATCACAGCTGGTGGGGAGGCTTTGCTTTTCCCATTTCTCAGACGAAGAAACTGAGGCTCAGATAAATGATTTGCTATCTATTCATCATGTGTACAATGGACCACCAAATGACCCATCCTAGGCCACACAGCTAGTAAGACAAGTCCCAAATCCAGGTCTTCAAAACTCCATTGGAGAATATCCTCTGTGTACCTCAGAACAGCACAGATCCACATGGTCACAGTGTAACAGAGAAACAGATTACAGATTCGGACAGAATGCCCCGGCCCATGGAGACCCTCACTTAGGTGCACAGTCACTTAGGTGCACTTCCAGTCCTCACTCTTGGCTCCCAAAGCTGTGTGTGCATCTTCCCTTCATTTACACAACCCTATGATTATGCAGATGTTCTTTCTACTGCTGCCTCCTCCACCTCCTTCTGCTTCAGCAACAGGACCACAGAGAGAAAGCACCCTGGATGAGCAAGCCGTGACTGCAGCGGTGGTGCCTGCTGCTGCTGCTGCTGCTGATGATGATGATGATAATGATGCTGATGATGATGCTGATGATGACAATGAAGATGACTATGATGTTGATGATTCTGATGCTGCTGCTGCTGCTGCTGATGATGATGATGATGACAATGAAGATGACTATGATGTTGATGATGATTCTGATGCTGCTGCTGATGATGATGATGATTCTAATGATGATGAAGATGACAATGAGGATGACTATGATGATGATGCTTTAAGACTTCTTTATTTTATGTACATGGGTATTGTACCCGCATGTCATGTATGCCTGCGCACCAGGTGCGTGCCTGGTGCCTGCTGAGACCAGAAGAGATCAGATGGTTGTGGGCTGCCACATGTGGGTGCTGGGAACAGAACCTATGTCCTCTAGCCAGCACCTCTCAACCACTGAGCCATCTTCCCGGGCTGCTGCTCTGCTTCCGGAAGGAGGTCTCTACGTGAACTGCTAAAACCAAAGAGGGATTCTTCGGAGGCTAGGGGCTGTTTTCTTTTGCTAATATTCACAGAACATTTTTTTTTATATCAGGTCCCAAAGGACAGCCAGATGCTACCCACTGTCCTCCACAAAACTAAACGCCCTGAAAACGAGGCCTCTGCCTGCAGACCTGGGCTGTGAGAGGGCTCAATGAGGAAAAGGCTCCTGTCACCAAGCCTGAGTCTGATCCCTGAGACCCACATGGTGGGAGGAGAGAGCTGATTCTCACAAATTACTCTCTGGCCTCCACACATATGCTGCAGCAAGTGCACACACTAAATAAATAAATGTGATTTTTTAAAATTAAATTTCATTAGTTATTCCCAGATCCTTGGGTTTGACTCTTCACCTCCTCCTTTGGAGACACCCTGTGATTTGATGGAGTGTGCAGAAGAGGCAAGAGTCATCCTGCCCAGCTAAGCTGAGAAAAGCCAGAAAACCTTCAAAACAACAACAGATTTGGTTTCAGTCAACGGCCTGCCCTATGGCCTGTTCCAATTAGAGTCTATTTTTATTTCTGTTTTTCTGAGGTCCTGGGAGTGGGGAAGGGGGGGTGTCAGTGTTTTGCCAATGAGATACATCACCAGCCCTAGTCATCATTTTGAATTCACTCACAGAGATATACCGCTGTCAGTCCACCCTTGCCTTGACTCCATTCTCTCAAGGAATATTAGAAAGCCCCTTCTCAGGGCCAAAGAGCCTCCCCCAGGACCTGTCTCTTGCCCAGGGCTCCACAGCTGCTGACTGTCTCTCTGCTCCTCAGGTCTCCTCCCCCAAAGCCTGGCAGGAACTGAAATCCCTTCCTGTTTCACTCAGCCTCCTCCAGCCCCAGAGCAACCAAGATGAACAGCTCTGGGCAATGGAAAAGCCTATAGCCAACAGCCCCTGCCTGAGGCAGGGTAGAAAGATACAGAAATCATGGGGACCAGAGGAAAGGGAAGAACCCCTCACCCTGGAATCGGAAGCTTCTCACCGACCAAGAAGCTAGAATTCCATCATTTGTTGTAAAAGCTGCTGAAGGGGTTAATATTCCCTTTACATAGAAATATTTAATGTCAAAGCAGTAGTCTGGGGTCTGAATACATGTGACCTTAGGTAAGGCCTCATCGCCTTCCTCAGATACCACCTGAGATTCTAAAACAAATGAATAAACTGTTCACTCTGGAGGCTAAAGACATGGATCAGTGGGAAAGCATGAGTCTTCTCATGCTCTGCCTGGCAACCCTCCCTCAGTCAAGGGCTCCATGGTCCCTTCTTCCCCAGAATTGTAACTTCCCAGTCAGGAAGGACCTCAGCTCATGAGTCTTGAGGCCCCCTGCTCTGTGATCCTGTGCGGCTAGGCTCTGGCCTTGGAGGAATGGACTCTTGTCATGTGGGACACACAGCTTGAAGACTGGAACCTGTTATGTTCCAGCCTACAGGACGGCTTTCCCATCCAGTCTCTCATCCTTGTAGTTTTACACAGGGAAACTGAGGCCTGATGACACGACCTGCCCAGGACCTCAGAGCATGTGGGAAAGCCCTGGCAGCTGGCAGCAGAGCAGGCTGGTGGGAGAGTGATCACTTGGCCTCAGAAGCTGCAGACCTGACCCCATTCCTGGTGCCTCAGTATCTGTCTCACCGAGTCAGCTGTTTACAGCTGTTTAGTGAAATGGTGGGGTGACAGCACCTGCCACATCAGGCTTCTGGGGAGGGTCAAACACCCCCTCAGGGTTTGGGACCCAGGCACCCTCATCAAGCACTTGCTGCCATTTTTATTATTTGTTAATGGCTGACCACACTCACCCGTGGGCCCAGGGTAGAGAAGGGATTTGTCTAGTGCTTTCGGCTGCTTATTCCAGAAGGAGGGGTTCTGCTTGGCTGGCTGCCTACATTTTTCTCTCAGATACCACCTGCTAATCCAGGGTAAGGAAAGACACCTCTATCCCACCAGGGGCGGCTCTCGGCTCTCACTACTCTGAGGAAAAAGACATTTGAACATTTAGTCACCACTGATTCTTGCCTTCCTACAGATGTAGAAGTAGATGTAGATATAAGATGATATAATCTTCAAAACACATCTGTAATCCAATCACTTAGAGGGTTGAAGCATGAGGATGGTGAGTTTGAGGTTAACCTGGGCCACACAGAGACAATAGTGAGCTTCTATATCTGAAATCTCTCTCTCTCCCTCCCTCTCTCTCTCCCTTCCTTCCACCCTCCTCCCTCCCCCCCATTCTTCGAGGATGGAGGAGAGAGGGCTGAGTACCTAGGATGTCCTATTTGTAAACCAGATAAGTCAGGAGCTGAGTTTTCTTTCCTTTTAAATTTTAATTACATTAATCATTACAAATTCTTTTTAGAAACAGGTTAGACAAGCCGGGTGGTGGTGGCATAAGCCTTTAATCCCAGCACTCAAGAGGCAGAGGCAGGCGGATCTCTGAGTTCAAGGCCAGTTGGAGGCCAGCCTGATCTACAGAGCAAGTTCCAGGACAACCATGGCTACACAGAGAAACTCTGTCTCGAAACCCTGTAGATGTAACCAACCGTTTTATTAAATAAGAAACACAGAGCCGATTCAGAGAAGAAAGCCAAGAGGTCAGAACTAAGAGCCTTACCCTTCCTGCTTCAGCCAAGAGAGCTCTCCAAAAAAGGGGGCCTACTTCCTGTCTGTTCGTCTTTATATAGACTGTCTGTTCTGCCTTCTTATTGGTTGTAAACCCAAACACATGACTGCTTCGTCACTGCCTGTATGTACCGCCCTCCAGGTCCTCTATGGTATTGAGATTAAAGGCATGTGTCTCCAATGCTGGCTGTATCCTTGAACACACAGAGATCTACCTAGCTCTGTCTACCAAGTGCTGGGATTAAAGGCGTGCGCCACCACCGCCACGCTCTTGCTATGGCTCTAATAGCTCTGACCCCCAGGCAACTTTATTTATTAA